CGTAATAGTGTAGGACTTTGAGGCCCGAGAACTGGATCCTCCTCTTTGCTCATCTTCTTTAACGCTGTAAGATAGATTGCTTGGCGGCCGCAAAATCTCATCAGTAGGGTTAGATTTTCTAATGTGATGGGTTCAAATCTCCATAAAACCATCACATTACCGTTGATCAAACCGATTGACAATGATTCTTTTAGGGCTTTCTCAAGGTGCCACACAACACAACAGCGCCAAGGTCGCCCTATCGCCCCGTTGCTTGGCGCTCTGGTGTTGTGGTTTTCTTAAGATTGAACAGTCAGTTTCAGAGTTTTCTCTTTACACTACTAGTCAGTTATGTGAAGAGCCAGAAAAGAAATGATTTATGCCATCTCTGCTAGGTAAACTCGACTGCACGGTTAACTGTAACTGGCTTGAATCAGGGTAAAACTACTGGAAAAGTCGATTGGGTAACACCCAGGTACGCCGGCTTTGCCTTTCACCAGCTCTTTGGGATAAGCCGAGAACTTCAGAAATTTCAAGAAGGGATTGGTCAGTATTCTGCTGGCTGTGGAAGTCGGCAAGAGAGCATCAGACCGTGAAGGTTCCATACCCGACCATACCGACTCTCCCCTTCTGGGATGTCCTTCTCAAGCTACGGAGCCTCTTTTTTATGGAATTTTTCAAATTTTGAGAGGATCTATTCAAGTTTAGGAAAAGATGTGCTATCAAAGGGCATTGACAACTTTGAAAAACCTCTTCAGAATCGTTTGTCAGCGAAGATCTCGACCGAAAACGATAGTTTTTGGAGATATTGAGAAGTAATTTCGTAGTGAAACGAGCCAGTGCCTTCCTATGTGGCGCCATAGAAATCGGTTTTTTTGTGGGTAAGCGAACAGGTTGTTCAATTTACATTACTATCGTCGTTTCTCTCGACGACGATGATGTGAATACACCTGTCGGCTGCTTTCGTTGCCGATTGTATGGAGATATGAAGAAGTCGGTCGCGAATCACATACACATACACGATGATGGCCCAATTATGGACAGATTAATCATTACAACGAAAACTTGGGATAACTGGTACGAGTACGGTGGAATTTCGGAGTGTTGATCCCGTTTGGGTAACCAATTCGGATGAATTCCCATCTACTGACTGAGGTGAAGGTCCCGTCCCACCGAAAAGGGAAGCCTCCCTAACCAGGGACGTCTTACTCATGACGGTATCGTCGTTGCTAGAGAGACGTCGAGAAGGGTGTTCATCATCTTCGTCCCGTCCTATCCGTATCTGACTCATTACCTATTTCTTAGGGGTTCTCTCACACCCTTTTCTTACCCGGGGTGTGAGTCAGAACGTGAATGCGCACAGAGCGTTACGTGGGCGTGTCCCGTAACATAAAATCGTTGTTCGCCAACGCCCATCATAATGGACGGTCGAGGCCCGAGCACACCTCATCTACCATCCTACATCTACCCACAACCCCTTACCTCCTACCCACGAGGTCCTCCGCGTAACCCACGTCATCCCCCACGGTTTCCCCCACTTACTCAACTTCTACTGTATGGTGGCTGACTAGTTGCTTCTTGCCTATTGACAAACCGATCTGACTCATCCACAGTCTTCATATAACGAAAGGTTAGTCTGCGGGAGGTGCTTGCGCCTCGGCGACGACCTTCGACGGTTTGCGGTCAGCGCCAGCGCTAAACTGTCACTTCTACCACCAGCCCCAGCCATCCAGCTACTGTCTGTGTTGCCAGTCAGCAGCGGCCTCAATCTCACTAATCTGCCTCACTTTGCGAGGCGAGTGCTTTAGCTTTTCTGGAAACCGGACCGATCATCATACTCCCCATAGCCTGTGTACATCCTCATCCTCATTCTGGGGTAACTATCCATACTACTATTGTTTACCATCAACAACTATACCGTAATCCTTCACAATGATTTGTTTACGCTCAGTGTACATCTTGTCTCCTGTCTATCTGAATATTTGGGAAAGATTTACTACAAAATTTTTCGTCGTTGTTTTGGAAGGTCGAAAGTTTTTTAACCGCCTTTGTTCTTTCGTTCATATCGCCACGCGACAATAACATCAACATGCTGACATCAAGAAAGAGGGCGAAGAGGAACTGCTGAGTTATGGAGGCTATTTTGGCGGCGCCAGTTCGCCAGTCGCAAATTCGTGGGGGGTGGGGGAGGGAACCGGCCCTGGGTGGCCCAGGCTGTGTTGCACTGGAGCTCAACTTGCATCGCATGCTGCGGACCGATCGTGGTGGTGGTGGTGGTGGCACTGGCGACGACGACGACGATGACGATGACGACGACAGCCGCCCGGCCGCATCGCGGGTAGCAAAATACTATGCTCAACTGGGTGAACTGGTTCCCCGCTAAACCGTTCTGTTTGCCCACAGCATTACTTGTTATAATGTTCATTGTACTCCCATTGTGTTTAGACAGTAAAATATAACCTTCTATTAAGTTCCCATCGGCTCAGATCATACTTCTTAATCCATTTGACGGATCGGTCGAGGCCACCGGCGACAGACACATCAATCCGAATGTCATGTCGCCAAGGCCGTATTGAATTCCCAATGTCCAGACGAAAATTGACCCATCTGAAAGAAGTGGGTAGCCATTTTGCAGATGAGAAACGACGGCGGTCGGTTCGTTGCATTTCTTATGCAAACACCAAAGAGGTCATCTCCCGCATCGAAATGGAGGAAATGAATGTTCGCTGTTTTGTTCGGAAATCATTTCGTCGGGACCGAGGACGGCTTCACGACGGTGTGCTTGATGTGGGAGGGAGGCTGGTATCTGGGGCCGATCGACCCCCAATGGCGCCAATGCGTCGCTGCATTCATGCATGAACTATTGCAAACAGTTCAGCAGGCTATTACAAACGCAACGATCCGGTTGACCTTTGAGAGGAATGGCGTCACGAAGGAGAACAAGAAGAACAAGAAGAAGAATAGATTCTGCCATGACTTTCAACAATTCAATACATACCAGTTGAACAGAACGCCCGTGGGATGCATTCATATGGGGCTGGTCGGCCTCTCCTCTGTGAATAGCCCCTGCGCCCTCCCCCTTCTTCCCTTCCAACCAACTACCAACCACCACCACATTGAAACCATCCATCGCCACCACCACCACCAGAACCACCATGACTACCACCACGCAACGCTGCGCCCTCAACTCATCGCCCAGTCGGTCTCCCCATGGCTGGCTGCGGATCGAATCGATCCGTCCGTTTTCAATAGTTCATAACCGAGTCATTTACCATTTCCATATACGGCTCTGATCGATTACCGCTGGTTTACTTGGTCAGATCTGGCCGATTTGGCCAGTGTCCGGTTCAAAATGCTTCTATTCTTTTGCAAATTACCGTATTCAGGTGGAACTTTCGACAAAGTTCATTACTAATTCGGTTCGGTTACTTTTTTTGCTACTTCCTATGACGTATGACTCATTCATACGTTGTCGTTATCTTTTCGACACCCATTCATTGCTATCGAAAATAACCCTTTTAAGTTGAATGATAGCTTAAATAACCAGTTCTTTATGTTGTAATAGTATGACAGTTCTACTGCCTTTGTCTCACGTTACCATTTATTTTACGAACTTTTACGGACTTAATACCGTACCGGAAAAGGGTAAAGTTCATCGTCTGTGTTTCCTTTACTGTTTACTACTTACGAAGTATATGAGTTATTTCGTTGTTGCAACATTTTTTCGATCGAATCAGCCCCCTCCCGTCTGTCGTAGTGGGTTATCGTTTTTGGAATCTCCAGCCCTAAAACAGCGCTTTCCTTGTCGATTCCCAAGGTCCTAGGAAAGAAATCATTCGATCGGGTCGACAACTGGGGTGGTGGGAAAGGCGGAGTTTTGGTTTGTTTGATCTACTGATGATAGAAACTCTTCTTCTGGAAGGGGGCGAGGATTAGGGCTTCGGCACCGGCTTACGCGCACTCTAATCGTCAGACATTTGCTGTGTGCGAGCACCGTCGGCACACCAGTAGCAGCAGCATTTCTGGCTCATACTGTAGCAGCCAGTTGACTGATTCCCGAGCCTAACCCTTCCCACATCTGCTGCTAGGGTCATCCAGCTCAATCCTGTTCCTCTTCTTCTTCCGCTAGTGCTGCTGCTGCTTTGATCAGCACTGTATGTATTTGCCTTTATGTTGTTGACATTAGTTCCCTATGAGGTGGCGATGTTTGTTATCGAAGCCTCTCCACCAGCACCATCTCGCTCCGTTGCAATGCATGTGTCTACTACCCAGCCCCAGTGTCAGACCCTATCCCAGGCCAGCTCCATCTCACCCACTTGTGCCCCCCTCCCTCTCCTCCCAGTGGGTGAAGATGCCTCACAATACCAGTTGCGATCGATAGGCAGCAGCAATGTCTGTGACTGTGTGGTTGGTGGTTTTAGAGCAGTACAATAGCATTCGTGCTCGCTCACTCGCTCTCATCGTTCAATTCGCGTTCAGCAGGCCCTGTCGGTTGCTTACGACCCATTAGGGCCGAACTCCCCAATCAGAATTCGCGTAAATAGGGATGGGCTGAGGGAGGGTGGTGGGGAAATTGACACGTTTGCACATTCACGGTAGTTGCCAATTGTTTTTCTAGTCCTCTCCAATCAACATACTGTCAACACGAATATGTACATTTGCGTAAATCCCATTCGCCCAAGCTCAATTTCACCCATCACCCATGGGTAAAAATGGCTCATTCATCGTGTTTGCCAACGATCCTGTTCTGCGCAATTTACTTTGCCACGCTTTTCGCCATTGTTTTTACTTCGACTCAGCAGCAGCAGTCCCATCTCCCCACTCCGGCCAACTATAGCAGCCACCCACCCATCACCAAGCAGTTCCCATAGCACTGTGTGTCAAAACATTTACTCAGCACATTTACTTCTCATCTCTTGACTTGCTCTTCGTCTTATCCTCACTCATACCCCTACTTATCGCTTCGCGTTTTCCGGTCGGGACCGACTAATCATCATCACTATTCCCTGTTTCAGGTGGAGATGTCGAAATCGGAATCGGCGTCCGAATATGAGATTCAGTACCGTTCGACGATTCAGCCGAGGACGGCCGTCCGTTCACAGTCCCGCCAAAGTGGCAACTATGTGTCCGGCGGTACTGGCGGAGGTGGCGGAGGTACGTTATTCACAGTGTAGGCATGACTATCTGGGTAACCAAGAGCACCTGTAGGGTATCCAAACTATCGAAGTATTACTAGAGCAATGAACAAGGGGGAAAACCCGTAGGTACTGCTGACCTTGACAGCAATGGTGCAGAGGACATCCCGGATCCGTTCGGAAATTCACGTTGTCCTCATTTTGAACAACATCATTTGCAAANGGACGGCCGTCCGTTCACAGTCCCGCCAAAGTGGCAACTATGTGTCCGGTGGTACTGGCGGAGGTGGCGGAGGTACGTTACTCACATCCTGACAGCTTTGTCTCATCCCAAGTGTAGGTATGACTATCTGGGTAACCAAGAGCATCAGTAGGGTGTCCAAACTATCGAAGTACTTCTAGAGCAATGAACATTTGGGAGAAAGCGTGGGTACTGCTGACCTTGACAGCAATGGTGCAAAGGACATCCCGGATCCGTTCGGAAATTCACGTTGTCCTCATTTTGAACAACATCATTTGCAAAAGAAATGCGAAACTCTTAAAAACTTCAAATTGACAACGTCTGACGTGACCTTTCTGACGCCAAGACTATGGGTAAGATTGAATGGGAATGTTTGTCAAAATGTGGGTCTCCCGAGTGGGAAGATTAGCGAATGGAAAACGTCAAAAGTCCAACGAAATCATCGCATCGGGTTCGAAGATCCACTTGGAGTCAAAAAAGACTTCAATATTGCCCCCATTTGATGGGGACCGTAGAATTACTGGATACTGAAAAATTCCATTCGGAAACTGTTCATTGTATGAAGATACGGGCCGATATCTAGATGAGGGACATAAGGTCTGACTCTGAGAACGAAATAAGTGTTTCGAAAAAAGGAGGGGCAGAGTTTGGTCAAAATTTTTGTGCCAATTAAGGAAAGACGATTATACTCACTTGAAATCGAGATTGGTCATCAATAGGGTAGCCTAGTTATTAAATAAATAAATAAATAAATAAATAAAGGAGTAAATAAGAAGGTAAATAGTCTTGGCAGAAGGATTTGTGAAGAGGGCAATCACCTGGAACACGTCACTGCGAAACTGATGTCTTGCAATACGACCAGTGTTGTATAATCCTAGTATGGAATACGCCATACGTCTGTCACCCACTCGAAATCTGAATAGAATTTGAATGAGTATTCGTCCTATCCGAAGACTTGAGAGGTGGCTGAGTTCCGAAGTAAAATTTTCAAAATCGAATGGAGGGAAAACTAAATAAAATATTCAAGTTCAAGAGCAAGACATTACTTAACCTTTCTAAGTAAATTTAGTGCCCTAGGTTTGACGCTGAGTACCTGATCCTCTTTGAATTGTTGACAAAGTTTTTCGGCCGTCAACGAGGACTGATCCCCGGAACCGCAAAATCCTAAAAATGCCGACAAATTCTTATCCTAGCGGATTATTTCTTTTTCTTACGTTTTCAGAAAGCTGATAAGGTAATACAGAGGTCACATAGACGTCTCTGTGGACAAAACAACCTTCAATGGCATCCCTTACCAAATTATTGAGTAACCGCCCGGCCTCTGCTAGCAGTTCTTCGAGTTTTTCGCCTTTTTACAGGCTAAACCTGAATTTTGGGGAAGTCAGCTAATTTTCACGTCTTTTTACCATTACCCATGATGGGACCCATTCAGAACCGTTCAGGGACAACCTTAATGGAGAACACTCCATTAAGGGGTGCCCCTAAACGAGCTGGCGAATGATAATCAAAAATTCTTTGAACCCTGTTCTACACAAAAACTTGACGCTATGATGAGTTTCAAGAGGACACGAACCGATTCACCCTGACAATTTCAGATTTCAAAGGGCAAAATAGATTGAATTTCGAATTTCCACATTTTTCTGCCCATTGATTGATTCGTGGGGAATTTTCGAGAATAGTACTTCTTTTTCTTCGGTTAGGCTTACGGAATATTGTAAACACCCTGGAGTACACTTGATTTCAATCGATTTCCGGGGCTATGTTATTGAGTTCTTACTAATCATTACCGGTAAACCCGTTCTCTTGAGAATATTCCAACAGTAATTTCATCCTAAGAGGCAATTTTAACTGGGAAACATGTTTTTCGGGGGGATTTTTATTCATGTACAATTAACTGACTGGGAACAAAGCCACTAGAACATCACTAAAAACCTTTACATTCAAAAAAAGTAAGTTCCACTCTATCTAAAGAAAATGATCAGCAGTGCAGTGGCTAGAGAGGTAGGCTTGCTCTAGTAGCAGTCCTTGGACCAATTCCGTCCGAGAAATCATTCAAGATCATCAAGCAAGGCCACCGCATCGTTAAGAAGGAGGAAAAGTCTCGTTTTCGTCAAAAATCGGCAAAAAATTCACTCAAATTCAAAGAAAAAAAAACGAGAAGTTGGTATCAGTACTCATTCAAATGCCTCCAGAATTCCATGCAGAAACCAGATACATGGCGTATACATAGCCGACCCCATCTAACATCCTTAGCTTCCCTTATATCCATGCTGCCTGCTACTTTCGCTCATTTAAAATATATTTTTTGTCCAAAATTTGAAAATAATAGATGGTTAACAAAGTTTTCAACTTCAACTGTTCTCGCTTTTGGGATACGCCATGAATTTTGTCCAAAAACAAGATGTGTCCCACAAGATTGGCCAGTCATGGGCGGAACTTCGGTGGCCTCAGCACTCATGAAATAAAAATTTCCAAAGGAATTTCGAGGTCCCTCGAAAAATTTCTGGAATTTCTCGGCTCTGTCGTTTAGTCGAACTTTTGAACCCCGACCGGTAGGTAACCCAGGCCTAGCGGGGGGCGCTCAAATGACAGACGCGTTGGGAGGAAGCAGAGCAGCATCGAGTGAAACATTCGACTGCACACAATCGAATGCAAACATTCCAAGCGGTTGCTGCTGCTCGCACAATTATGAAAGCCTGTCCTGTTGTGCATACCGAGGTGGATCGTCTGTGTCTTCTTTTTCTTCTTCGTCACCATCATCGCGATGGATTACTCAGGTAACATCAAGAACAGATCGGTGGTTTTTGTACTCTGTAAATCCTCAACTCGGGCGAGTTTTGTCGTCTCTCTGAACACAGCCGGTCCAGAATCGTACGAAATCGCACGTGGACACGGGGCTTTTGTTTGCATGTAGCAGTGAGTTAACCCGGGGGATTATGCAGATTTTAGGCCACATTCGGGGACATTCCAGGCAATTTCAAAACGGAGCGGACGGAACAGTCCAATGGGGCGTCACCAGTATGGAAATCTCACTCATTACGCATCAAACCCAGCTAATCGATTGATCGTCGATGATAAGGAGTGCCAGTGAACAACACACGGTTGGAGAAAGACCTTGAGGATAGGTGCGGTCAGGAAAGATTTCTCTCATCACGTCGTGTCCGCCATCCATCCTCCCATCATCATCATCAGCGTCGATCGCCCGTCCAATACGCCTACCCACTTCTACCCTTGCTGCCCTGCCTCTGTACGCATTTACTGTGTGTTACGGTGGTTACTCGGAGCCCCCTCCCCCAAACCATCCCACATCACTGTCACCACCCAAATTCATTCATTTCTCAGTCAATCAGCCTGCAACGTCTTGACTGCTGACACAATCAGTCGTCATCATGTCTGAACCGACGACCACACCTCGTACATCTGCCTCAGGAGGTTTGTTTAGCTGACTTCTATGGCCCTATCCCACTCGCAGCCATTCTCGTCCAAACATGGCCTAGTCTTCCCTAGTGGCCGGATGATCCCGAGTCCTCTAAGATGGTGATTTTTCTTGATCCACTAGTTAGCCGGACTGACAGATAATCGAGTTTGGCCCATTTTTCTGAGAAACCATCCACCTTAGGCTCTAAACGAACCCTTTTTGTACATTTTCTATTTATTTCTCACTTTTTCACAGCTACTCTTACCCAAAATTGAAAGAGAATTGGTAGGGTTACCCTTGGCCAGGTGATTTTCGCTGATATAATGTGGTAGTATACAATACTATGTGATATCTCGTGGTAAATCGATAGATTCGATGGTTTCGAGCTGGTTTCTGAGTGTAATCTTCGATGTCAAGCACTAGCTCTTTTCATGAAGGACACCTCTTGAGATTCGGGTTTTGATTTCGCGTTAACTGAAACTGTAACCAGTATAAACCCTCTGTCTGAGCGTCACCACCCTTACCGTAAGCTACATATGGAGACGTTCTTCCACCACCTAATTTGGTCATTTCTAATGCATCCGAAAATGGTGACAGGTACTTGAAACCGGGAAAAAACCCGATTATAAATGTTAGTTGTCTTAAAATTGTCATCAGGCGCGCAAGGACAGGGCGTCGCCGGAGTGCTAAGAAAATGCGCCGTATGAGCGCCGCCGCGCCCATATTGACACGATTAGATGTGACTAATTGTGGTCTGGGCCGAGACCCGGAGATATGAAGTGGGACCTTTTGGGAAGACGAATTATACAGATCCGTATGAAAAAAGATTTCTTTTTTTAGGCAGAGTGCTCAAGATGGTGACCGAGATGGGTTCGGCCACAATTGGTGGAATCTCGCCGGCTTTGTCAGCTAATGCTGCTAAATCCTTTCTCGAAGCCACCGACAAGGAAAAGAAAGAGCTTCAGGTAAGGGAGTTCATTCGATGTGAGACCCACTGGGTCACAAAGCAAACTCGGCCATTTCCTAGGGTTTGAACGATCGTCTTGGTAACTACATCGATCGAGTGAAACGCTTAGAAGAACAGAATAGAAAATTGGTCGCCGATCTGGACGAGTTGCGTGGAAAGTGGGGAAAGGACACCTCGGAAATCAAGGTCCGTCTTGAGCTCTAGCTCATTCCTATCCAGTATATCCTCCTGAATAAGGAAATCATTGTTTACTGTCATATTCAATGTTTTTTAGATTAAATACTCCACATCGCTATCGACTGCTCGTAAAGACATCGACGACTCTGCCAGAAGAAAGGCCGAGATCGACGTCAAAGTGGCTCGTCTTCGCGACGACCTAGCCGAGTACAGAAACCGGTGAGTGGTGAGCTCCATCCATGATGTGTGTGTGTGCCTTTCATGGACGCAAACTCTCTTCTCTCATAGTCGATCGGCACATTACCGTTGTGTTCTGTTGTGTCAAGGAGGTTTCTTTGGGGTCATTTATCGAGTGGTTTCGATCGCTCGTCGTGAAATGATTTGTAAAACGCTGGAACCGGTTCGAAGGCACAGTTTCGTGCCATAATCGTCCACAGAGTCACGCAACACACCCTGTCATCGTACTGGCCTCGCCATTTGAAAAGGAATTCACTTGAAGTTACCGTCACAGACGGTTTTGGTATAATTGTAAAGAGTGAATCCTAAGGATGGGGATCAGACCCTTGCAAAGATCTCGTTCGGGAAAGCACCCATCAGTTCAGTCCCAATTCAAAATCGTGGTAGAGTTTGAATGGGAAGTTAGACCACTTACACAGAGGTGACCCGATGAAGTTCGCTATCGCTCATCCAGTTGAGCTAGTCCGGTTCCGTTTACCCGATTCTAGTAGGGTGAAGGACTTGGGAGGTCGCGACTGGTGTCCAATCGGGACTTGTTTCCCATACTATGAGTGAGCTAATGCGCTTACCGAACTACATTACTATCATATTACCTGATTACTAGCAACCTAACTATCTAATTATCTAGGTAACTGTTTTGATAACAAGTTCTGATCGATAATGTTGAAAGTTGGCAGTTCCCGACTGGTTTTCGGTCAATGGTCACACCTTGCTAGGCTGTGACGTCAGAGATGAGCAGAAATCAAAATATATCCAGATTGATAAGGAGTTAAGTAAGAATGGGAACGCGAATTATCTGACTGGAAACAACTCCCGATGAAGAGCCAATCAAATTTTCGCTAACTACAGCTTCTTTGGGAAAAAAAGATTCAAGATGTCTGTAGAAATGACGTTGTCCCATTAGTTCCACAAGGAAACTTCAACCAAAGGAAGTACAATGGTTTTTCTTCCAATGATCAAGGCAAGGTAACAGCTAAGCTGCTCGAATGCCATGCCTTGGACGAGACAACTAGCTATGGCAATACTTAGAATATATTGCGAGACAACTAGCTAGGAATCGCTGTAATTGGACTAGGGCTTCCTATACATCCATTAAAGCATTCAAACTATGGGAAAATCGCTTTGAACACCTCTGTATCCACTTAGACGAAAAGTGCATGGCGTGTGCCCGGTAACCAGGCTATACTCCTCTATTTAAGTAGATTTCCCCAAACAGGGATATCCTTTTCCAAGAAAAATTTCCTGGCAAGAGCTTTTCAATCGGCTTGGACGTCACCGTGATATTTTTTTTATTATTTTTATTAATATTCTTGGTGATATTTGTTCATTCAGATATGAGGACATCCAGCACCGAAGAGAAGCGGATCGAGAGAAAATCGCTCAGTGGACGAATGCGATCGCTGATGCGGAAAATGAGCTCGAGATGCTTCGTGCTAGGTAATATCGATTGAAAATTTCAATTACACAAAATATTTTAGTGTAGAGTCGATCAATAGCAGTAACAAATTAATGAAGCTACGGATGAAAGTGTAAAAAAAATTATAGAAATTTTTATTTTGTATGGTTCCCAATAGAGGTTTGTTCAGATGGAAGCAGCTTACTGATGAGGAGAAACGTTTGAACAATGACAATGCACGAATCTGGGAGGATCTTCAAAAAGCCAGAAATGTACGGTAGTCATTCCAGAATCATCTTTTCATCTCTTTCATCCCTATTTCCATTTAGGATCTCGATGAGGAGACTATTGGCCGTATTGATTTCCAAAACCAAGTACAAACATTGATGGAGGAACTCGAATTCCTTCGCAGGTATGAAACAACTCATCTACATACCGTACCTTTGGAGGACGGTATACAGGGCCCATCACGTTTGATAGATGACCCGATCCCAAGTAACCCCTCGACAGTTATGGAAAATTCCCTCTTACAGAGTCCACGAACAGGAAGT